TTTCAGCACTGAACTAGCTAAATAGAGTACTAGTAGTAGAGTATTGCTTGCATTATTCAGTAACCACATTAGATGTGTGGGTTACGTACTTCCCCTCAGTGAGGAAGCAAGGAAGCACATCCTGAGCTTCAGAGACCCAGCTGAGATCCCAGACAAGCCCCCACTTGCCATGAGGTGGATTTGAACCTGGGAAGCAGAGTATAGGAGCCTCTACCCTCTGAGCTAAAAGCCAGCTGGCTCAGTAGTAGAGTAATCTCTGGGACATTTCCCTCCTATTTTTCTGAGGGGGGTATGATTTTCTCATGGGGGAAGAGGAATGAAACCAATGCAGGCTAATTCATTTCAGGATGAAGCATGTACATTGCATGAGGATAACATCTGAACTGCAGTGTGAGGAATTTTGTCATTGTATAAGATACTAACTTGGGCACTTGCCTTCAGATGTTTCCCCTGTACACAGAATATTTACCTCTAAGTCCAATTGGCTAAGGAAAATTCACTTTGCCTCAAACCCACTTACTTTCCCTCCTAGTTAAAAGCCCACCACCTCTCACCCATGATTAGCACCTTAATAGGTTAGCCACACAAGGCTTCTCATTAAGATTGCATTAATATTCATTCTTCAGCAAACACCAAAAGTGTGTTCAAAATGCTGTAGTAGGATTTCTGGATCCCAAACACTGTTGCAGCAGATTAGAAATGCTATTCAAGTTTCACATTAAAATAATTTTTTCAATGAATTACATGAATAATGTGATCCAGGCGATGGTCGCGGAGTTGTTCATTTGTTAAACCATCTAGCAGACTTCATGCTCTCTAGACACTGTTGTAGTAACAATCTATAACTGTATTATAGAACTTGTTGGGGACAGATGGGAAATTTTTGCAGCCAGCTCGAGGACAGAACATTAGCAGCTTTTTGCAGCCAAGATGCAACGGGAAGCAGGTCAGGAGTGTGGAAGAAGCACATGTGCTGGAAGTTTCAGATAAGGATCAACAGAGAAACCATGAACAATTTATGTAAATTGTCATCTTTAAGCTTCCAGAAAATCACCTTCTTAGAGTGATTGATTTAGACATTCTGCAAACACAGAAGACATCACTGCATCCCGTTGTGCAAATTTTAGCCTTAATCTCACTGTATCTCAGATCAAATTATATAATGGGAACAATAACCCCTATCGCTCAGGAGTGTTATGAAGATAAAGCCATTGATGCTTGTGAAGCATTAATATACAATGATGATCAAGCAATACAGAAAAGTCCATGAAGACAACAGTAATTACATATTTAGTGCACACAGGTTGGCACTGGTAAGTAACCGGTAAGTAACATATATTCTTTTATCCTCATTCAATGAACAACTGCCTCATTCTGAGCACTTTCGATCCTGGGCATAGAATGAAGCAGAGGTTCTATAGATAAATATTATATGATCATGAAGATTCTCTCATAAGGTATATACACAAGAGGGCAGAACTAATGTTCTGTAGGCAGCCACAAATCTGACAATTCCTGATTTATGTGATGGTCTTTCCAACCTTAAAAATATCCTTTTTAGTGTAGTTTAATTGCGTGAAATTTGCACATAGAACAATGTAAGTGCTCAACAGTTGAGCTTTAATAAGTAGAATAGTCTTTGATCTAGAAGGCTCCTGCTACAGGCAACGAATAAGAACTGGAAAGTCAGAAGTTGCAGTAGAATTTAGAGAATTTCACCATGTTTGTTACTGTGGTTCTCAGACTCTCCCATACTGCAAGAAGAGGAAGTGCTGGGAGGACAGAAAGCTCCTCCCATCCTGCCTCTTGTCTCTTCTGTAGTATTATTATAAATAATTGTCAAATGAACTATTCAGGTTAGCTTGTTCCTCCTCTTAGTCACATCTTGTTTTCCTTGGCCTTCTTAATATTACAACTTTAACTGTGTTGTGACTAAGAACAGGAAATAAATCCAAAACATACAAAATGAGGTTTGCTAAAGCCAGCATGGGACTGGCACATAGCAAATTCCATGTTAAATACAACAGTAACGAGAAGTCACGGAGAAAATTCCACTTGATTCAAATATATGCTAGAGCCCAATTACCAGGGTTTGATCCACACCACAACTTCCTTGCACAAAGTGAAGAAGATAAGAGCTATTGACATATAACTTAGCCCTGACACATGCAGTAATCTATATAAGTGAGATCTAGAGGAGTTTGGCGCTATGATTACTACAATTATCCCTGCTTTATTAGACTTAATGGGAGGGACAGAACTGTGAATTTATTCCAGAATGGAGCATATGATAAGCTCTAAGTCTTCTAGGCTAGAGTGAATGACAACTAGCTTTTATGGCATCTAGTCTATTTTATTCCTTGATTTTAGAAGTGCAGCACAAGGACTCTAATCCCAATCCAATACCAGGTTTTGTAAGTATCTAATGGAGTCTTCCTGACATACTGTGGCAGTAGCTATAGCAGGAGTCCCAGTTCACCAGAACAAGCCAGGAATGGTAGATATACAAGAAATCCCATTGCACATCACTAAATAATCTGTACAGAAAGTATCATAGTCTAATGTAGGATTAAGTGGACTGTAGAGAATCAAGTTACAAATGCGAGTCCAACCATAGTCAAGAACACAACTCCCAGAATGCTACACCAAACATGCTGAGGGTTACTTCTGGTTTCAGTCTCATAGCGGCTTCATCCTCTGTCATTCATCTGCCCCAGTACCAGTGACTTTTGCCAGTTTCAGCATCTACTCTCAAAGACAGAAAGCAATCTACTTTAAAAGCCAAAAGAAAGAGTTAACTGCTGCTTAGAAATAACCCAATTCATTTAGGGCTAGTTGGAAACTTAAATACAAGTTGGGACAAAGACAAACTATTATGTTCATAAGGAAGTCAGAGTGAAACTGAGAGGAAACAAATTGAGATCAGAAGCCAATACAATCAGCTCCTGGGTTCAGCAAATTATGGAAAGTAAGAGGGGATTAACAGATAGAGGGCAACAGTCACTGGTTCTGGAATTACTGCTAGTTTAGGGATTCCTCTGCAATATTCCCTCTTGTCTTTTCCATCTATGGGCAGAATGATCATTAATCTGCACTGAAGCACATGTGAATGTGCACCATCAGTAGAAAAAGGAAACTAGCTGTGGGCGCTCCACTGCTGTTTGGCTGGGCAGCATTTGAAGCCCGCCTGAGCAGCTGAGCAAGCACAGAGTTTACAGGGACACTGTTTCTGTGTCCCATCTACATTTTCATAAGCAAGAAAAAATAAAACATGGTGTGAAATCCTGGCTTGAATGAAGTAAATTGGAGTTTTACCATTGATTTCATAGTGGCCAAGAACTGATTTTACTGGGGCTAGAATTTCACCCCTTGTATTTACTCTATGTTGTGCTCTGACAGGGTGCTCATTACTGTACTTAATGGGAGAGAGACAAAGACCCTGCCCTCTGAATTTACAAACCAATGAGCACAGAAAATGCACTGCATGGAGAAAACGCTTCCCGCTTCTAGCTTTAATTAAAGCCACCCGCTGTGTTAGATGCCACAGAATTGAGTCTCATCTATTAAAAGTCACTGTTACTCCAGAAATCACTTTCCCAGTGTAAACCATTTCCTTGCTTATGTAGCCTACAAGAAAACCATATTGATCTACACAGCAGCCAGAAAAGCATCAAGTACCCCTTACACTCAGCTGGTCCTTTACCTCAATAAAGATGTCAACTCTCAAGCCTAGTTAGGACCTTTGGAATGTACTATTTCATGGAACTTTAACACCGTCCAGTGTTTTGCTCAACAGGAGGCATTCTTGAGTGATTTGTTCCCCATAGTAAGCATTTTCTGTCACAGAGATTATAGGCCTGCACAAGTTTATGTCATTTGCCCCACCTTGTTTTTCCAATCTCCTGTGTAGCAACGGGAGTGAAGACTGGGCACATAGCCAGGCCTTGACTGGGGAATATTATAGGTTCAAAAGACTTGCATCTTAACCCAAAGATTCAGTGAAACTAGTACTGCTTCCCAGTTCTTCGGGAATGAACATGGCACAGTCTAGAACCAAGGCTGGACATCACCCTCACTCTTAAGTGCATGGCAAAGCTCCCATTAACTGCTCCTTGTGCAACTCGGACATAGGGATTGCGTGTTCCATTTTGAACAGCTAGGATCACGGAAGTAACCCTTATAAGGCCAAATTTATCCCTGGTTTTGTTCTACTGGCTCTGATTGGCTTCCACACAGGATAAATTTGGTCTGCAACATTTAACCTGCCTCCTTAGTTATTCCTCTGGCACCAGCAACAAGAGCAACTGAAACAGCAGCACCAATGCAGAGGTAACAGGGTGTTTGGGAGGTAGCTGCAGCACTCTTTGCAGAACCCATCTCTTCACATTGTTGGGTGAAGGCCTGGAATTCAGGTCAGAACTGGTCCTAGGTCATCTCCTTTACCGCAATGTCTACAAAAAGACTTGATAATTAAGGCAGCTGGTGGACAG